ATGGGGCAAAGCCGAGATAAAACATTTTCAATCAAAAACGGGTTAGAAAGAGGGGAAAAGATTGCAAAATCGGGTTTAAATTAACACAATAAGTGGTCAAAATAAACCACTTATCATTGGTCCCTATTGAAAATGATATCATTAAAATTCTTGTTAAGACTCACTAAGACTTGTCCAAATTTATCCCTTTAGTCCTAAGACTTAAATATATGACATTTTTTTTTATCTCTTTATGAGTAATTTATATGTAGAAAAGTGTAAAAAAAAAAGGATAATAAAAATAAGAATGAGGTGGGTCCTAATCTCAAGTCTTAAGTTAGAGTCTTGGAATTTTAAGACTCAACTTGAGCCTTATTTGAGATTTAAGAAGAAAAATGGGGGAAGTTTTGAACATAAGTCTTGAGACTCAAGAAAAAGAAAAAAAAAATGATGATGTCACCCTAGGCTAAACTTGCTCAAATGATACTCTTTCTTTTGCTCACTTTGCTCACATTTTGTTTTTTCCCCAAACTCTTTCAAATGATTATCTTGTTTTACTCGCCTTTTTTTTTCAAATTATTTTGAATGATTAATATCTCTAAGTCTATATAAGGATGACTCAACCCTTTCCCAATTTACAACTCACTAATTTTAACTCTACGTGTTTAGATGATTTTACAAATAGTTGGAACAAAGGATCACTCTCACTGGCACAAAATATATTTCTTACTAAAATACTGTACGTTGTTAGGATGCCTAAAAACTGAAACTTAATTCCCTTTTTATAATGGTACAACATCACAACTAACTTCCACACTTTCTCCATTATTCGAGCTAGTGTTCCTAAAAGGTAGGAACCAACCCCAGTACTAGAGAAAAGGAAGAACGTTCAACTTAACATGGAATAGAGGTGTTGAAAAAATCTTTTTCTTTAAGAGTAATTCAAGGAGTTAGTTAAAGTACTTTTTGAAAAAAGATATTTATTTTGTCAAAAAGGAAATGTCTAATATTGTATTTTTCCAAAACAAATCTTTATAATTTAACTGAGATCAAATGTTTGATAAAATTATCATTAAATAAATATCCAATTTTATAAAAAAAACACGAGCGTTTTAATTGTTAACATTAATTAATTCTCATTTTCCTTTTGTTTTAACCAATCATAAAATGCTACACACTCCAATAAGCCTAAAAGTAATTAATCATTCTTCTTAGTCTTCATGTAATACTCATTGCATTATACGATACATCAATCAGACCTTGATAACTTCTGTCCTTCCTAATGGAACATCAAAGCTTCTAACCTTCTTTGTTTTCTTTACTTTAAATGTCAACGGTGTATGCCATATGGAGATTAAGGTCTTCTCTTTGTTCCAATCCTGAAACTTAGTTCTTAACATAGAAATTGCCTAAACAACCTGCACACTCAATACACCTTTATCAAATTGAGTTTTCTTGTCGTCACCATAACTAGTCGAGGTAAAAAATATTCCCCATTTTTGTGATGACAAACCTTGCAAACTAGTTTAATTAAAGAGACAAAATATTAGTGAAGAAAAGCAAATACAAGCTTCTAATTAATTTAATAGATAACATAATTTATTAATAGTAATTTTTATGAAAGTTGAAAATAAAAAGTACTACTTTATAACTGCTTGTAAGAAACATGGTATGAGAATTGGTAAGGAACTCGGGTGACTTGCAATTCACTATTTACATTTCTTTCCCCTTTTGACATCAACAGAAATAATAGAACTAGCATAATAAATCCACACATAGCACCCATCGTTGAGTTTTTATAGATAAGCAAAGGATAATAAGAGTTGTTTACCTACTAAAATTACAATCACGTAGGGTTTTAGGTACTCTAAGCGGAATTTCATGAATCTCATTCATACGCACCTAAACAGGATCTCATGCATATACAAATAAAGGATCACATAAAAGTTTAGAATTAACCTTTGAAGCGTGAATCCTCTTAGTATGAAAGAGCCTCAAGCGCGACTCCTCTATTCGATCCACCGGCTTGAATCAACACTCCACCAATGCTAGTTGGACGGGAAAATCTTTCACCTTTCTTGGAGTAGAGAACCAGTCTAGAGAGAAGAGAAAATATTGAGAGGAAAAAGTTACGTTGTTTTTAAAAATTAAAACTGAATACTGTGTCTCTTATTTTCTAAAACCTTTAATTAATAATAATCACATTACCATTAATTAGGTTAGGATTTTTCTCTCCCCTTTCCCTTTTGGCCGGTCACCCTAAGGCCAACTTTGGGCTTCAGGTTTCTTTATTGATCCAAACCTAATGTGTGACCTTGCAGGATCCGTTTATGTGGGCTTCGGGTTTGTTACTCACTAAATTAAAGTTCTATAGCATTCTCTAGCAAGACGTATGGACGACCCAAATAAACGAATTACTCTCTATAATACGATCTGTAATTATACTTACTAATTGCACTAAAGTCGAGGACACATTTCCTTCAATCTCCCACTTGTCCGAGACAAGTTTGCAATATTCAAATTCCTTAAGTCTCTTAGTGTTTAATTTAATAGTATGATTACATCTCTATGCTATCCATACTAGCGTTCAAATTATTTCTTGAAATCCGAGTTTGAATTGCTAAGCAAATGATCATCTTATGATCCATTTGAGCACGACCATGCATTTTCAATTCTTACTTTTCAAGAGGCCAAGATACCCATCCTATATAACATAGGAGGACCTATTCAATCTTGTGGCAACCAAAACTCCCACTCAACTTTTAGCACAACCCGAGTGTTGCCTTTATAGTCCCCTTTTACGGCATGACATTTGACAACATCAAAGTTACACTAATCATTGAGCTAAGTAGTGTTCCACTCATGTCTTAGGAATCCACTAATACAATTGCGAAGTTTTAAAACTTCTAAGTAGGTCTGTTCGATCATGTATCAACTATACATATCCATATGATTGACTAAACATCTCCATGTTCCCATAGCCCATGAAACGACGCTATCAATCAATCTTACATGCTAATACTTTTATTAAGTTATTTATGTCCAATTTAACAACTTAGATTAGGAACCTAAATATTATATGAATTCAGTCCACTTATGGGGTTTCATTTATCAAATCACGTATCTAACAAACCCATTAAATTCAATAAAATATACTGGACATTTTACTAACTACTAAACCAAAATTAAATAAGAGAAAAAAATTTCATTCCATAAAAACATAAATTAGCAAAATAAATTGTAACAAGTTTCTCTAAACATAAAACAATCTAAAGCCATTCTAACACTTGCTTTAAACCTATAGCCCTAGCGCGAATTTCGTGCTTGGGTTGAGGTAAAGGTTTAATAAGTGGATCAGCAACATTCTCATCCGTGTGAACAATCTTGACATCCTTCCTGTCTACAATCTTGTAAATGAGGTAATATCTCCTCATTACATGCTTGGATTTGTCATTCGATCTTGGCTCTTTTGCTTGTGCAATAGCGCCATTATTATCACAAAACAACTCAATCCCTTGTAGAACATCAGGTACGATGCCTTGTTAGGAACTTTTTTATCCAAACAACTTCCTTAGATGCTTCATATGCCGCTAAATATTCTGATTCCGTCGTAGAGTCTGCTACAGTGCCTTGCTTTGAACTCTTCAAGCTCACTGCTCTTTCATTCAGACAGAAGCGTGTGTCCAATTACTAACCAGGAGGTGGTGTTCATCAAGCCCTCTCTTCGGACTTCCTAGACCTTTGTCCGGCCTAAAAACCCTTTCTATCTAAGCTGGAGTTCCATGGCTCCTCACTTAGAGAGCACCCCAATCCCATTTCCGTTCGGGTGGTAAAATAACAGAATATTCACCGACATATCCGACTTAGATAAACTGTGCCGACGTACCCTGATTGTGAGCGATAATCATCTCTGTCGGTGTGGAAGCTTGCATCGGTATAACCTTTAACAACCAACTCATCTACTCCTCCATAGACCAAAAACATTCCTTTAATCCTTCTCGGGTGTTCTTAGCCACTATCCAGTGTGCTTCACTTGGATTTGCTTGGAACGTGCTACATAAGCTCAAAGCATCCATGATAGAACCTATAGCCGAGGCGTAAGGTATGCTACTCATTCACTTTAACTCATCAGGCTCCGTTGGGTGTTGGGCACAACTCTTGCTAAGCGAAATGCCATGTGACATGGGAATGAATCTCTCTTAGAGTTTTCCATGCTAAACCTCGCAAGAGCCTTATCGATATAAGTCTCTTGGTTTAGTCCAATCATCCTTCGAGACCTATTTCTATGGAAAATATGTACTCAACCATTCCTTGACTGACTCAAGCATTGGTATGTCATTTCCAATGAGCAGTATGCTATCTACTCCCACTAAATTTCTTGTAGACACAAGGTTCTTCTTCACTCCTGAGAAAACCAAAATGTTTGATTGTCTCATCAAAACGAGATTACAACTTTAAGACGCTTGCTTCAATCCGTAAAAGGATCTCTGATGCTTGCAAATTTTTCTAAAATTTTCTAAATCCTCAAAACCCTCGGGTTATGTCATGTACACATCCTCCATCAAGAACCCATTCAAGAAGGCGGTTTTGACATCAATCTGCCAAATTTCATAATCGTAATGTGCAGCAATTGCCAAAAGTATCTGAATCGATTTAAGCTTTGCCACTGGAGAAAAGGTTTCATCATAGTCTATATCATGAATTTGCTTGAATCCTTTTGCAACCAGTCTTGCTTTATAGATATAGACGTTTCCATTTTTGTCTGTTTTTATTTTGAACACCCACTTGCATCCAATAGGTTTGACCCCATGAGGCAAGTCGACTAGGGTCCAAACTTTATTCAATTACAATAAGTTTAATAGGGACAAAGGGAGTATTTCATTTAATGTGTCAATTTTGGCTGCATTAAAGTTTTAACAGAATGGAACTGCTATAACCATTATATTTTTTCTTGTAAATACGCATATGTTAAGTTGCCTTTTGACTTAATGTCTAAATTTTACTCTTCCAACTCTAGGCAGCTCATGGTGGTGGAAAAATCATTTTAAAAGGCCTCTACTCCGGATTGTTTGGAAATTTGGTTGGTGTTTTACCGTAAGTGTTATCTATTTTAATAGTACTTTCTGCCTGGGTTCATGCAAATTTGTTCCATTCCAATTCAGTCCCTCTTGGTTATGTATGTGTGACTAGTGTGAGTGTGCACTCCTTGATGGTCTGTGCCTGGCCATACATAGCTATGTACACAATTATGATGCCTATTTCTGTAAGCAACTTCAGGATTTTGGACAGATTAATGACTGCTTTCAGGGTCCCTCAACATTTCATTGTTTTGCAATGGTTAGGCTGAAAGAACAACCGGTAATTGCCTTTTTGATCAAGGAACAAGCACATGCAGTTTTTTTATTTGAAAGGGGTAAGGCTGAAAGAGCCTCTTTGCCATTGTCAGAGTAATACTCTGTTTATAAATCCTCTCTAACCCTGCTTTAGGCAAGAGTCTTACCATTGCCACTGTAATAATATTACAGTCATTATATCTTGCCAGCCCATGTATAGTTGTTAACTGTATTGTATGTCAGTTGTTATATCTTTCCTTTTGCATGTGTTAGCGACATTGCAAAGTTATATGAAGATGAAATTCTTTGTTTTCTTCCAGGGCTTCTGCGATATTTTTGGGTGTGTACGAGCCAGTAAAGCAGAAATTGTTAAAGGCTATTCCTGAGAACCTCAGTTCTCTGGCTCATCTTGTAAGTTGTATAGATAAGTAAAATGGGTAAACCAACTGAGAATTTTATTGAAGATGCAATTTGAAACTTTTGTGTTAGACAGACTAATTGTGCTAATGTGTAGTTCTGTTTATCTTTATTTTCTAGGGACATTGTGTCCTCTTCATGTATTTTCACTGTTAAAAACAAATCATTAAGTACTTTAACTTGTGCTGAAGCTGTTTTTGAGGTTTTCTATTTGCGATTCTATTATTAATCAACTATTTTTTTCATTTTTTTTGGGGCGGGGGGGGGGGGTGGGGAGAGTGACTACTCGTCAATACTAACGTTGGATTCTGGCAGATGTAACCAAACCTCTATCTAATTTTTTTCCTGTACTTATTTACTTCCTGTGTTTCTTTTAGTTGCGTCATTTACAAAAACACGGATTCCTAGTTAGTTTTTGGAGATGAGAGACATATAGAGAAAAAAAGAGGACCCATGTAATATGAGAGAGAGAATTCATCAACTAAAAAGGAAAATGATTCATCTAATTTGAAACATCCTTATTAGAAAGTGATGCATCTAAAAAGAAATGGATAGCAAGCTATAGTTTTCCAATGGGTTTCTTGCGGGAATGACCTCGTCACACTGCAATCTGATCCTACTTACTTTGCCCATATTGCTAGCCTGATCTATCACATACTTTTAGAGTCTGGAGTTTGAGGAAAAGGATTTGGATTTTTTCCCTTCATTATGCACTGTGTAGAGGAAGTTTCAAGTTGATGGACTGATATTGTAAGTATTTAACCATCTTTTAATAAATAAAAAGGGTTTTTCTAAGTTATGCCTCTAAACTTCTTTGGTTTCTAAGTTGTGCCCATGCTTTTTCAAACGTCTAAGCTGTGCCCTCAACCTCACTTATTTTTATTAACAATAACCTTTGACGTTAACAATAACTTTTTTTTTTATTATTTTATTTTCTGATTTTTAAATTTGTTTAAAGTGTTAAACCAATTAGAACGGGATACATGTCAAATTAATAATGCCACGACACCATTGTTGATAAAATAACTTGACTTTCGTTAACGGATATGGCTGTTAAAGGGTATTGTTGATAAAATATCGTGAGGTGAAGGGCACGGCTTATAACTTTGAAAAAGCATGGGTACAACTTAGAAACCGAAGAACTTGGGGGCATATCTTAGAAAAACCCATAATTTAGCATCTAACCATTGCATAGGTCTTTCTATAATGATTTTCATTGTACACTGAGGTGGAAGCCTTCTTGTAGCCTATTTTTTTGTCCCTCTTCTTTCTTTTTGGAAGAAAGGGTGTTGGGGTTGAATGTGTCCATGGCATGTCTCGTATTGCCAATTTACTGTAAATCAATTAGTCCATGATAATAGCTTTTGTGTAACAACTTAGTTCATTGTTGAGCTGTATGCAGCCAGTTTTAGTTTTAAACTTCATTCAGTCTGCAGGTGCCATTGCAGGAGCTGCCTCTTCTATTGTCAGAGTCCCAACGGAGGTATTAAGATTTATACCATTTGTCATTCTCGGTTTACAAGTGTATGCGGCTTAAAATATACTGTCATCCTAAACAATATTATAGGTTGTAAAACAAAGGATGCAGACGGGTCAATTTGCAACAGCCCCTAATGCCGTGCGTATGATTGTTTCTAAAGAGGGCTTCAGAGGACTTTATGCGGTAAGTGAGATCTTCTGTTGTGCAGTAAAGATATAATTTTTTTTTTGTTTGTCAAGTTGGTTAGTAGGCTATGTGCTCCATGCTTTCTTAATTGTAGCTTTGTGAGGAATGCTGTCTATTGACTGATGCATTTCAATCCTAAAATTTTGGTTTCTGTTGCAGGGTTATGGATCTTTTCTACTTCGCGATTTGCCTTTCGATGCCATCCAATTTTGTATCTATGAGCAAATAAGGATTGGTTATAAACTAGCAGTGAGCTGATATATATTCTCTTGATAAGAGCTTATTAAGATATTTCATCTTGTCTATTTTGTGAGCTAAATTTATTGGTATTATCAAATATTGTAGGCTTATGAGGGTAAAAGATAAAATTATTACCCTTATACTTCATAACCTGAAAAGGCTGTTTTTATATTTTTCACCGTCAGAGTTCCGAAAGCTACATAAGTAGCAATTAATGTTACTTCCAGTTATTCTTTTGTAGAATACCATTGCGAATTCCTGTGTTAAATGTTTGACAAAGTTCTTGATATATTTCACATCAACATAGGTCTATGTAATTATGTGGGATTCTCTATCTTCCATAAGCTCATGGTTTAAAAAAAAAAATTTAGTCCATTTTGGGATGAGAAATATGAAGGAGATATGCAACTATGTAAGGGTATCTTGTGATATTTGCTAAACTGTAGGATTATTCAGATTGCCCCATCTTTTAGACATATTCTCCATTTCAATATAATTTTTACTTTCTAATTTTCATGTCACAAAATAAAACTCATCGTAATTCAATTAAAAAAATAATACATATTGTTTATCACTCTTCTAATTTCATCACATCAATAATTTTTCTTTTTCTATCCTACACAATTATTCTCTCTACAAAGTACAATTTTTACTTTTGACCTGTGCCAAATCAAATTTTTAAGAGGGAGTCATCTTTTTGATGTTCTGTGATTCTTAAAATATTCATCTTCTGTAAGCTGTAACTGGTTGTCGTTTCATCTTTTTGATGTTTCACTTGTGAGATCTTAAAGCTTGAGAATACTTTTCATGATTTGCTGTCATATGCTCATAGTGCAAACAGACACTTACAACCTCTTTGTGAATCTTCAAATAGATTCTTAGCTTTGTCTGTTTTAGGTTTACCAGTTTCAGCATATGTTGGTGAAAGCCTGCTTATTTTCTAACATTTTTGAAGTAGAACGTTTGATGGTTAGTAACATATTTGGTTAACATGTCCATTGATCAAATACAACTTTTTTTTTGGCAGGCTAAGAGGGAATTAAATGACCCTGAAAATGCTTTGATTGGTGCTTTTGCAGGTAATAAAGAACTCTTCTTATTTTCCCTGTAAAGTAAAAGCTTAAAACTACTTGATAAACAAAAAATGTCAAACGGCTGCTTGCTGCAGACTTCTGTGCTTTGATCATGACTGACATTTGCCAGCAATTCCAATTTTCTACCTATTCTAACCATAATCATTTTTCTTCATTTACTACCTCCGTAAACTTTTAGTTGCAACTTTGGAATTTTTTTACTTCACAAATAATAGCCCAAAGTTGCAACTAAAAGTTAACAGAGGTAGTACTTTTGTTGGGGAGGATAAGTTGTTGGGGGAAGTGAGGAACTTATGATTGTATACCCTTTGTAAAATACTGGTCTATCTAAATTACAGATTCTTGTGAACTGAGCTGTTAAGATGAAACATGGATATTTCTGTGTAATGTTATGAGCTTATGATACAAAATACTTCGTATCAGACTGGATAAAGAATTGAGATAGCGATACAAAAATAAAATCTTGACCTGCTGCAGTAAATTTATTACCTGTCTTTGGTGTCAATTAGGGTGCAGTGTATTTTTTTGGTTGGTTTACGATCTTGAGTTGGCCCTTTATAAGGGCCCAAACCCAGGCCCGGATACAAACTCTCCAATATCCCAATGAACTTTTAGGGCTTGAACCTTAGCCATGGTGTTCATGCCTAAAACCTCCAACGATCCTATTCTGGAGAAAGAGTAATGATATAATCAAGATTAAGTTGTTGGGATAGTTTGTTTTGTGTTGACCACTTGACCGTGTAGTATGTTTCCAAATATAATAAAAATGCAATATAGGCTGAGCTCTATGGATTAGGCTGATCAATCGGTTTCAGGATATTAAAAAACATAACGCATGCAATATATTGATAATACATTTTGAGGAAAGAAATTTAGACAAAACGGATTTGTCTATTTATTACTTGCTGGACTTAATATTCATTGCTTGAACAGGAGCTATAACAGGAGCTATAACGACCCCTCTTGATGTGATCAAGACACGACTGATGATTCAGGTATATAGTAATCCATTTTTTTCTGCCTCAAGTTTTCTTTCATTTGAAGTTTAGCGTGCTAATTTTGTTGCCTGTCCTCGTGTAAAACAATGGTCTTAATTCTACAGGGGTCGTCACAGCAGTACAAGGGTATATATGACTGTGTGAGGACCATACTGAGAGAAGAAGGAGGGCATGTCTTTATGAAGGTTTGTCCTCATCTTATACGAGTATTCGCTTTTTTTTTTCTTTTTCTTTTTTCAGTGGGGGATTGTGTATTATCAAATTGATTGTGAAGATCAGGGAAAGAACAGGCGAAAGGAATTTCAAAGCTGTGTATTTGTTGTGTACTGCAGGGCATTGGACCAAGAGTTTTATGGATTGGAATTGGAGGCTCGATATTTTTTGGTGTCTTGGAGAAGACAAAACAGGTTTTATCCCAAGGCCAACCCAATAATTGATCAGCTAAATTGCAAATGAGCGTCCCTCTCTCTCTCTTTCTCTTCTTTTTTTTTTCTTTTTCTTCTTTTATTTACTTAATTTTGGAAATTTGTTTCTCTTTGTGAACATCACATTGGAATTTACAAATTCTTATTTTCTAGTGAATTTCATCTAGCTGGTAGTCTTAGGAATTGTATCATGACTTGAGATCAAAGCTTGTTCAATTCGCACTTCATAGCATTTTATAAAATAAAATCATTACATGCATAAAAAATTGTCATTTTCGTACTGTACTTTATTGTCATGACCTGTTATTTGGAGAGCAGTCATTAAAGTTTTGTTTTTAACTGGCCTCGTTGTGGTGTTGATTGTCGTTCATTTATGACTTAGGGCATGTTCACATTTACTTAATTTCAGGTTCAGTTCACTTTAGTTCAGCTCCAATCAGTTCAGTTCAGCTCCTAATTTCCTTCTTTCACAAAATATTCATTTCACTTCAGTTTAGTTCAGGTCCAATAAGTTCAGTTCAGCTCCGATCAGTTCAGTTCAACTCAGTTCAAAAAATGTGAATAGGCCCTTAGGACTATGACAACAGTCTCCATTTGCGAGCATGGTATTAATTTCTTCATTCAGTGACTTATCTAATTTGTTGCGGGGGAGAATCACATTTTCTTTTGAGAAGGTATTGTGTCAGTCTGGACTAACAAAATGCAGATTTTTGATATCCTCAATTAGCGGATGATATCCTATATTGACTAAATGATATCCTCTATTGAATGGATGATATCCAATACTAACTTAATGATATCTTTTATTGGCGATATGATATCCTTTATTAACAGGATGATATTTCTAGTGGCTGGATGATATCCTCTATTAGGTGGATGATATCCTTTATTGGCTGGATAATGTCCTCTACTAACTGAATGATATCCTTTATTGGCTATATGATATTCTTTATTGGATGGATATCATCCAACAAACTAATAGAGGATATCATCCAACCTACAAATGATATCATATAGCCCATTAAAAGATTTACGTAGTTGTAGACACCCATTTGTGTCTCCCCAAAACCAAACCCGGTGATGAGTACCTTTCACATCGAATCATAATCGAATGAAACGAAAGTGTGGAAAGGACTAGTGTTGCAGAAAGTTTTATTTCTTTTCTTTTCTCCCTGTTTTTGAAAACTTTATTTTAAGAAAACAGCCGATCCAGTTTGGTTGGTCCATGATTAGGGTCCAATAGTGGTGTAGTTGGATGGAGCTTGCAAAGACCTTTCCAACGATATATTATAAGCCCAATTTCGATGAATATTGAGGAAGTTATGGCCAATTTACTAAACTGGTCCCGGTTTGAGCTTTATGTACGGCCCAATGATCTAGAGGAGGGCCTAATATAATTTATCATTCCTAATGCAATTAGGAATGGTTTTAGTCTTCTAGAACATTCTAGAAGGTTCTTTTTCATTCCTAATTCAATTAGGACTCTTCAGAGTTTTAATCAAGATCAAATAGCATTTTCGATTGAAATTATATTATTTTATCTTCCAGTACAGGAAATTTATCAGATTTTCAAAAACGCGTTGAGAACCACTTTGGCGTCCAACCCCAGGCCTTGGCGCCTGGAACCAGGATTGGCGCCAGGCGCTAGCCATTGGCGCCTGGCGCTAGCCACTGGTGTTGGCGCCAACTAGCCAGGGCTGGCGCCAAGGTTGTTTTTCGATCTTTAAACTCTGTTTTGTTAAATTATCTTTTATGGATGATTTTCTCTATAAATATCGTATTAAAAACTCCGTTTTCTTCATCATCTACAATCATCAATTCTCATCAACTCTCTTTATTCACCAACTATCTTCATCATTCATCAATTCTTTTAATTAATTCTCTTCATTCATCAATTCTTTTCATTCATTCATCAACTCTCAATAATATTAATTCATTGGCATTCTTTTCTTTTCTAAACTTTGCTTTTTAATACAAAATTCCGCATTCACAAGATCTAGAAACACCTAGCCGTATTCGAAGTTGCCTTCGCCCTAGACGTGAAAGGATTTAATTTCTGAGGGTTTGGTCCCAAATCTCTCTTTCCATTATTTAATTTAATTGTTTTGATTATTATTTTCCTTGAAGTTACTAACGTGTGTATTTTGTTATTAGAAAGAGGTACGAGGCATCCAAGTAAGTACTTTAATTGATTAATTGATATTATGATGTAGAAATTATGTTTATATTGTTATTATGATATTCCTAGTATCATGTCTAGGGTATTTTTAATATTAAATATGATTGCTATGATGCCTTTTATTCTCTTCCTAATATTTACTCGTGTTAGTATCATGTTAGGGTTAAAGATTTGATTTTTATTGCTTAGTGATATGCTAGAGTTTGTTATTAATCTTGTTAGTATCATGCCTAGGATCTTGCTATGTTTATTATGCCTTAATATTAACATGAACATGATAATTATTATAATTGTTATAATTTATGGTTCTTATTATTTTGATGATGATTATTTTATTATGATGATTATAATTATTATTCATGATATTGATTATTTATTATGTTGCTTGATACATTATTTATTCTTTATTGCTTGATCACACCTTTTGTGCATGTTAAAGGGAATTTGTACTTGTAATCACGCTTAATAAGATAATTAATAATCTTGTTTAGGGTTAACTTTGATTATAATTCAAGTGATCGCCAATAATAGTTTATTTGTGCATTAATATTCAACCAACATAGATTAAAAAGGTTTAGGGTTAATCCTATTGATTGTATGTTAGTTAGAAAGCGCACATGAATACGAGCAGAATAAAGTAGAGGCCTATTATTAGGGCAGGTTCAATCTCTTTTAGGTTGGATTTGTACCATCATCCCCGAACCCTTATTTGGTTCATGACCTTATGGAGTTGACGATCTCTTGGATCGTTAAGGGGTGTAACGTTCACCTCGTGAACGGTTTACAAGTTCCTTAAAAACTTGTTGGCGACTCTTTTGCTCTATCTTCTTCCCTTTTGGACGCCACCGTACTTTAGTGTATGATCACAGTGGGGTTCGAGCTAGTGGGATTTTTAAGGCTTGAAATTATTCCCTACAGTAGTATATATCATCCAGCCTATTAATAATATAGTAGATATCATAGAACTAGTAGAGGATATCATAGAACCAATAAAGGATATCATGAAACCTATATAATAGAAGATACCATTGAACTAAGGAAAAATTCATTTTATAAATCCCAACTTTAGGCGGTTTACTATTGAAAATCCCAACTTTTAGGGGTACTTTCTTTCATAGGACCTAAATGACCGGTTACCCGAAGAAAAGGTTAACTTTTTAATTTTTTAAATTGCCACGTGTCACGCAGTTAGTGGCTCAAAAAATAAAAAATAATTGTTTTAAAAAAATTCTGATTTATATATATAAAAAAAAACCCAACTACCCAACCAAGCTCCCTACCCCCAAACTAGCAGCCCCCATCCCGGCAAACACCCCCGCCCCAACCTCGCCGGTAATTCGTCCCCCATCCCCCGTAAACACCTCCCGTCGTGTCGGAATACTGCGCCCAGCCCTCGAAACCCACCCCTTTCCCTTCCCCCACCCTCAAAACCCCCTCCCCGTAAAACCACCCCTCCCCTCGAAAGCGCCCCCCTTCCCCCACCCCTGAAATCGACAGTGGGCGTTTTCGAGGGTAGGGGATTAGGGGAGGGTGGTTTTACGGGATAGATTTATGGAAGGGGGAGGGTTTTGCGACAATAGGGGCTGTTTTCCGGCAATTAAAGAAGGCGGGGAGGTCGAGGAAGACAATTCCGGGAGGGGGGGATTCCGGCAGGGGAGGGGTTTTTTCCGAGGAGGGTGGTGGTGGTATTGGGGGTGGGAGCTGCTGGTTGTTTTTTTTTTTTGTAATTTATTTATTTATTTTTTAGATTTATTTTTTTCTTATTTTTTTTTTATAATTTTCTGTTTTTTTTAATTTTCTGATTTTGTTTTTAATTTTCCGATTTTTTTTTTGAAATTTTTAAAAAATGTTCTGATTTTTTTTTATTTTTCAGATTTTTTTTTAATTTTATGATTTTTTTAATTGTTTTGGACCAATTATAGTGTGACACGTTGCCTATAAACCTGAAGTAGTAGGTTTGGTGACTTGATGGGTCCTCTAAAAGAAAATAGGTATGAAAGTTGGGTTTTTCCGGGATAACGCATAGTTGAGATTTATTAAAGTCAACCGCCCAAAGTTGGGATTTATAAAATGATTTTTTCCTCGAACTAGTAGAGGATATCATGGAACTAGTACATGATATCATCTGGACAATGGATGATATCATCCAACAACTTATTATAGATGATATAATCAAGAAAATAGAATTTATTCTATATAAAAAAAATTAAAAGGTGTCCTAAAAAAAAACGAAAAAAAAAATTAGAAGGTCAATAATGGTGGAATCACCATCGAAGGTCCTGTACTAAGCTCATGGGTATAACATAACATGCTCATTTCTCAACCAAAATACATGCATTTGTTATCAAAACGCTCATAATTCAACATACAATCATATAGAACAATCAATTTTAACAATTATACATCACACAAGAAAGCCCCAAATCGATTTTTTGGGCTATTTTCGAAAAATCCGAGAATCTTAATCAATTATCAAGCCAATTTAAGCATAAATCATGGACAAATATAATAAAAAATATTTATTTTCACTATCCCTACCATCCTCTTTAATTTCAAGTATGAATTATGAACAAATAAAATGGAGTAATTTAGCAGAAAGTTGAGGAGAGAGTAAATAGAGGTGGGTTAAAGGTGAGGGAGGAGAGAGAAAGTGAAGTAGGATTGAGTGGGAGTATTGTTGGTGGTAGAGGAGAGAGAAAGTGTAGTAGGATTGAGTGGGAGTATTGTTGGTGAGTGAAAATGAGGGTGTGAGAAATTTGTAATGTCGTGCAAAAAACAATAGCTGGATTGACAAACTACTTGGTCAAGTGGACAGACCCAATAAATTGTGTTTTCTCTTATGACCAACTTGTTACCTGCATTCAAATTATTTGGGTTAGAACTTGAGAAAGAGACATCCTTATACCAATCCAATCTTCTTGGTTTAGTTAGTTGAAGACTTGAAGATGACATTTGTTTGAGAACTCAATATTGAATACTTTCCTTCCTAGCTTGCTCTTGGCCTTAATATGAGTGTGAGGCCGACAACTTTTTTTTTTATTTGTAGGCTTGCTCTAGGCCTTGATAGGAGTGTGAGATGA